ACTGCTACCTACTGCTACCTACTGCTGCTGCTACTGGTACTGCGACTGCTACTGCAACTACTACTACTACTACTACTCCTACTACTACTACTGCTACTACTGCTACCACTACTACTACCACCACTACTACTACTAATACTACTACTACTACTACTACTACTACTACTACTACTACCTCTACTTTACTACTACTACTACTACTACTACTACTACTACTGCTACTACTGCTACTACTACTCCTACTGCTACTGCTACTGCTACTTCTACAGCTACTGCTACTGCCACCACTACTACCACCACCACCACCACCACCACCACTACCACCAGCATGACCACCACCACCATCACTACCACCGCCACTACCGCCACTACCCCACCGCTACCACTAGCATTTCCACTACCGCTACCATTACCATTACCACTATCACTATCACTACCACCACCAGCACTACTGCCACTACCGCCACCACCACCACCACCACCGCCACCACACCACCACCACCACCACCACCACCACCACCACCACCACTGCCACTACCCGTACTGCTACCACTACCTGCCCGAAAAGTCACAAGCATACAAACAGGGCCAAATGCCTTAGCCACAATGTTAGCTCTCCGACCCCAACTGAAACCAAAACCCTTCTAAGCCGGAGATCCTGTCAGGACGGGAACAACAACTACGATGTCACTCAGGAGGGTGCTACAAAGGGGACCATGAAGTTTTATCAAGGCAGGCTTCTGCAACACTGATCTTACACGTTGTTGGCGTGATTGTATCGGGCCCCATGTCAGTCTTCCTGTCGGTGACACACAAATCGAGTACCAAAGTTGTAAACCGAGGTAGGAGACTCCAGCAAGAGGCGAGCCTAGACTTCGTTGTGCCATGGGAGGGAGAGGAGTGTATAAGAAGTGCATATGCATGCTGTTGCGGAACTGAATGCACAGCGCTGCGGAGCAATACAGTTCACGCTGCGAGAGTAATGCGCCTAAGCTTCTGCCCCTCAGCCCCAACCGTTACAGCACGGGCACTCTTTGGGTCAGGCTCCGAGCTGTATATCGAATGGCATCACCAGCCACCCGGCCAAAAAAGTGCCGAGTTCCGAACTTTCTGCCTTTTGCATCAGTGGCCTCAGGAATTGAAGCAATCTCTCTAGCAGTCTAGCAGCAAGCGAGGCGTGAGAGGCATGGGCTTGATTTGTGCCTGGGGACAACGGTGAGCGTTTGATTTTGCGTGCTATTGCTTGTTTTCGGCACTGCGTCAAGACTTGTCACGCAAGGCTTCTCTCGATACCTTTTCCCATTTGAGGCACGGCTGTGGCGTTGGCCACCCGAATCTGAAGTGCCAGATAGTCCTGCAGTATATGAGCTCGGGCCTCGGGATGGGAGCGAGGTTCCGGGTTCCCATTGACGGAGTTTTCTGGGCCAAAGTCGGCGTCGCGTGCACTGGCACCGCATTCTAGCAAATGCTTGCCTTGGGTCAAAGGCTCCTAATCCGCATGGCACTACTTGTCACACCCGAAATGCTGTCATTGCACATTCCCTGAAATCTGGAAGCCGGGGGAATCGTCCAGAGTCATGCTGGCACCGGCTTTGCGCCGTTGAGCATTGAGACACCGGCGGGTTTCAGTATCAAGTCGCATCGATCGATGAGAGTGCGAGGTAGAGGCAGGAAGCAGCTCTAGGCTGTCTCGCTTTCTGCAGTCGTGCACGGTGATAGCTCAGGGCAGAACCCAGAGCAAGATATTACTTCAATTGGGCTTCTCAACTTGAGCTGCTTGCAGAATCCCATAGCTCAAGGCCATGGCCTCGACTTTTTCCAAGTTTGCCTTCATTGCCTGTTATATTGATCTCACGGTTTATGTTGACACCGTTCATTCGGGATGTGACATTGCTGTTCACTTACGCATCGCTTTGATGATGCTGTTTTTTCCATGCGGCTATGCTACAAGTACTTTCGGGGAACCATTGAGGCCGGGGTCTCGTCCAAACTCACAAGGCTTTTCAGCTTGGGTCTCTCCAAGCAGATCGACACACTTGTTGCCGATCATCTCCAGATTCCTGACATTGTTTCTGGCTCGATCTCCAGATGTGCACTCCTAGTCCTCCTGTGTTTACAAAAGTATACAGATTCTCTTTCACAGTGTTCCTGGGTCAGACTTGTGAGTTGCTTGGTTTGAGGGACCTCGCAAGCTATTACATACAACGGCTTAGAGGCTTCTGCATGTGCCGCTTTTCTTCGGGCTTCAATCGTAAATTCGTGCTGGAGTCGACGTGGTTTCTGTTGTCGCACTGGCCCGGAAGACCATATACGGAACCAGCATCTATTTGCTGCAGAAGAGGTATATGCTTGAAAGCCTAAGCCTAAGCCCTGCCGTTGCCCAGATGAAGAAGAGAATCGCAATCTGCGCGATGGCACAGGCTCGAAGACGAGCGCACCTTCTGTGGTAAATCCAGATGCTTGACAAGCGCCAAGCGGACGAACTCAGAATGATGCGATCTGGCCACAACTCTCTTCCGAGCGCCCAGAAGCAAGTAAGTTGTGCTTTCATGGGCCCTGTCCTGCCAGCATGAGACTATCAATACCCTTTTCGACTACCTTCACAACACTCACTAGCTATTTTCGAAGATCCTGACCTCGTCAGCTCCCCAGCCCAAAACGAACAGTTCCTGAATGCAACCTCGTATTTACGAGCGCCGACAGTTGGATGTCGCAGGCCAAGACACTGCCGGTGGCGATGACAACGATCCCACCGAGGTGGGGGGGACGGGGCTGTGCCTCAGAGAGGGTGTCTAATGTGGGAGTCAGGACCGAAGCTGTTCGCTGCGGGGGACGGGCCACGAGCTGTCGGGGAGGCAGAGCGTTTGTTGCAGGTTGTTTGTTTCTGTTTTGTGTGTTATTTCTGGCTCTGGAGCGATAGAGCTGACTGATGTCGGAAAGTGTTGGGGAAACAGGAATGCTTCGAACGAACAAGCATTGGCTCTACAGGAGGCGTCAACATGTCTAGGTCTATGGGATCTGTTGTCTCGATTGGGTTAATCTTTACAGTGGGGTGCTCTCTGTCAGGAGGGGACCGCAGAGCCCGCAAGAGGACGGATCTTGCTGCAAGGGCGTGCAAGCGCCAGCCCGGTGGGTTTCACATTATAGCATGCGCTTGTTGGAGCCGTTAGGTTTTGACAAATCAGACCTGGAGCTGCAAGTGTAGGCTCTCGGTATTGGGACGTGGGCTGGTGTGGAAGTTTGATCGTAGTCTGTTTTTATTTAAGTGCTTCGAGGCTGAAACCTTCACCCACAAAGCCAGCAATCGAAGCTGTTCACTCAGCAAAATTCATCGGTTCCTGCAAATCCCTAAGTGACCTGCGGGTGCAGGATACCATGAACCCTTGGACTTCTACCAGGCAGCCCGGTTCTAGAATCACCGCTTTTTTGACTTTGTGCTCAGCGATACATACAGCTGAGAACAGTTTGCGCAGGACTGGGTTCTGAATATGGGCTGTTCGAATAGTGTCGCGCATACAGCAGGATGTTGGCTTTTTCAGGGCTCAGTTCCAGCATTAGGTTCTGAGACGCCCGGGTCGAGGCATTTTAGATGGGCCTGTATGTCTTATGTCTTAAGCGCTAGTAATTTTGAAGCGGGTCGCAGCACTGACACGCTTCGATGTTCTCGCATGAAGAAGATCGTGGATGAGTGGCTTGAGTAACAGTTGTGTGTTTGGACTCATTTGACGAGCCCTGCATGGTCGACAAAGCCCCTGTCAAAAGTCATGCAAAACAAGACTTGTGAAACACCCGGGAGGCTTGCATTGCGCGCGAGCGCAACAAGGGCCTCTACACTGCCGACAGGCATGGCTTCAGGTAGAATGGCAAGTGCGCAAACGCATCGAGAAAGGTCGTGTTTTTCAGGACTGCTCCAGCGACAGCTGCAACACAACAAATCCGATACACGAACCCTGAAGCACCGGCGCCCAAAGTCCTAAGCCTGCGAAAGCACTGGAAGCCTTCCCCGACAGGCAGATGGAGGAAAACGGTGGAGCGACCTCTACGCGGCAGAATCCGAACCTCACTTGGAAGTGTAGGAAATCAAATCTGAGGTCTTCCGGCAGGCCCGACGACCCATGATTTTTGGTTGAGCGCTCAAGGCCCAAGGAACAACGTTTGGATTCGGGATGTAAGGATTCATCGGCTGGGGGTTGTTATTGTAACGTCAAGTAGATTTAAGTCGTAGCCTTGAAGCCTTGATCCCTGAACCCTGGACACTACACCCTCGACACTGAATCAAACCCATGCGCGGAGAGCCGATTCAACACCGCGGGTCAATGATGCAGGGCTCCGTCAGAGGAGGTGCAATTCAGGTTCGGTATGGCAGTTTAGGTCGAGAGGACTGGGGCTGGGGCTCATCATGTTGCTGCAGAAAGTGCCACAGCACAACCCAATGTGGCACATTGAGCTCAGGCTCAATGCCACCCATACAAGCCCGCATGCTGGGTGGCAAGAGACACAATTTAAACACCCAGCACAGCTTTGCGTCAGACTGAGACTGACTGACCCATAACCAGCAAGCTCCGGCACCGCAAATTGTATGCTCGATGCGAGAAGGAACGGCAACGGCCGTCGCCGTGGGCAACAACGCCACGGCCTGGAATGCCCTGAGGTCGGACATGTTGGATGTGGCGGGCGTGCTTCAGCCTCTGGTGGGCGTTGATTTGTGTAGCATCCGCAGGGCTCGAGGGTAAGCGGAATCCTTGCAGCAGAACACCATGCAAGACATCGTCCATACACCCGGAAAGGCACATGCAAATACCGGCTGCGCACGGGGCAATCCCGAACGTATTTGGAGTGCGTCGCAGTATTCTAAGATTTCAATCACTTTCAGATTTTGGCGATTCACGGGGCTCGCTCGATTTCAACTTCTCAGCTTCAAGCCTTCTGAGGCCGAACGCCCCGAGCTCCGGATGAAAAGATCCGAGAGCATGAAACAACAAAGCCGTCCCTTCCACCGCCACTTCAAGCATTAATTAAGCGGCTTTTCAAAAAGGACCTGTGAGGTCAGGATTTGTCAGCAGAACCCCGGAGTGAGAGGACGCCGACAATGTCCCATATAGTTATCCTAAACTATAGATCAGCTCTTCCTGGAGGAGCGGGACTATTATCCGTATTGGCATCCCACGCCTTGGCACGACATTGCCGTGCTCACGGATGAGCCACAGGCCAGGAGAAAGCAACCGTTCAGCGTCTGGCTAAGCGAGTTGGTTCCCAGTCATTTCAAGCACTAATCCGATGGGTTGTGGCCTATCAAGATCCACGTACATCCTACTTCTAGCCGCCCAGACCTTTGCAGGCTGAAGTTTCGGGCTCCGGCTCGAAGAACCTCAATGCACAGGCTTTACATGATGCAGCACATCATGCAAGACAGGTCTCCGGAGAAGTTGAAATCCCGAGCACACGGCAACTTTTGAAGACCCAAAGCCCTGATCGAGCCCTGTAGTTGGCCCCGAATGAACAGACAATGAAGTCTCCTGGCCCGGAGGAAGGCTTCCGGTTGGCAGTTTGCTGTGTAGCCTCAGATCTTGGTATAGCCGGTTAAGGGGTCGCAGGGTCCAGGCTGTTTCGCGGCAAAGTTTCTCCGCCATTAGATACCCATGATGGTCTGGAACGCTCCGCGTTTGACAGCCCATGGCCCCAGAAACAACCTATACTGGAAGCAAAGCCCTGGCAAGTTCCAAAAGGCCAGATGCGAGTATTATCGCGCGGAGTCACAAAATGTCAAGGCTGGCAGGAAAGCACAGGATTCTCGAGATGCTTGAGTGGTTCGTTAATGTTTTGTTTGTTATTGTCTCTCTCTGTCTCTCTCCAGCCTTGCCCTGCCCCGCCCCTGCCCCTGCCCTTGCTGCCCTAGAGCTGCCCTGCCTACGCACCTTTCTGCTCTGCCGTGGTGTCAGTCGGTCGGATCGGTAAGTCGGTCTCTCTCGCTCGCTCTGTCGCTCTCTCGCTCTCTTTCTCTCTCTCTCTCTCTCTCTCTGTATCTATGCCTGCATCGACGTGTGCATGTCAAGGCTGATACAGTCCAGCGCAAGAGAATTAAAGATGAAGTTCAGTCTTTCAGGACTGCGGTTTTGCGAGCACGATGACTGTCCATTGCCTTTAGTTATTGCCGTCCGTAAACAGTCTTGTTACTGTGATTGATCACTGACTGATCTTGTAGCAAATCTTGTCCTTGTTTGATCTACTGTCTACAGTCATTTGTACCAGCAAACCTATTCCCCAGTACTGCTGATCTGGGCAACACTTCTGAGTTTCTTTGTACTTATGTCTGTGATCGTCGATTTTGCTCATATCGCCTGCGTTCGTTGTAGGCGCAATGTGTTCCTTTCGGAACGCAGGCCAAGGGTTCCTGCTCTGTCGCGGCGCACAACAACGCAGACGCCTGCGTTGGCAACGATGGGCAGTCCCTGAGCTGAAACCAGTTTTCATGTGCGATCGTCTCCGCATGATTATGAGAGAGATGGAGCCGCGGGTGGATTGGGTCCAGCTCGGCTTGAAAGCCGTATAGAAGTGGTGGTCGGGTTAGTGCCATCAGGCCTCATTACATGGACGTGTTGTTTTCAGTGGTGCAAGATCCCGCAAAAGTTGCGAACAGAAGACCAGAAAACAAAAAACACAGTGTCTCCAGTTTTACGTTTACAGAGGCAGGTCTGTGGCTTTGGGGTGGAGAAGTGTACCGGCTTTGTGCCTGAGGGGGTGCCCTTTAAATATGAATCTTTTTGGTGTGTTATGGGCCCATACGACTCCAAGTACGTGAGACTATGAGGTTTCGCTTGTCCGTAGTTGAGCAGAAGTAGTGCCGAGGCCATATAAAGGTGTAACATGGAAAAGTTATGCATAGTTCTCTTGCTCTTGTGTTCTGAGCATAAGGGTAAGATGATCCTACATGGTTGCAGCTGTCTGACTTCTACTGCAAGTGCAGGACACCCATATGTCAGTTTGGTTGTAAGCTTTGGATTTTCGGATTTCGTCGCGGGTCTGAGCCGGTTGGGTTTCGGACGCCACCGTGGGCCCCTGGAATGAACATTACAAGACATTCCATATGATTCCGAATTCCAGTCTGAAAGGACCCAATGCATCTTACGTACTGCTTGGCCCTTGCAGTAAATCTGAAGTCCACAGATGGCCATGTGCCACGCACCACTACCCTTCTATCGACACTTTCATGTACCGTTCTACCTTATGCCCAGTGCATACTTCCCGGCGTTTTGCCTGAAGCAGCTTTCGGACACTAGCGGTCCCCTGCGCATGTTAACATGTTCTAGTCTAACGCATCAGAGTCATAGTACGGCATAGTGCCGGCAGAACTTTTGATGTTTTTGTTTTTGCAGCCTCTGACAGTTTTCCCGAACCCCCGAGCGGCGCCCTATCTCTCCAGAGAGCTTCAGTTGAAACTCTATGTGAACTGCTCTGATGCCGACACGTCCCTACATCTTGGTGTGTAGCCTAAGCACGAAACAAAGGTGGACAGAGCAAGATCCTTGGCAGGAACCACC